AGGCGCCCGCCACCATGCCCAGCTAATTTTTGTATTTTTAGTAGAGACGAGGTTTTACCATGTTGGCCAGGCTGGTCTCGAACTCCTGACCTCAGGTGATCCACTCGCCTCAGCCTCCCAAAGTGCTGGGATTACAGGCGTGAGCCACCGTGCCCGGCCTTATAAATTATTTTCATACCATATAGAAAGCATAATGATAAGAATATGCATACTCTACCGTGTTTGTTGTTATGGAAATACAGAAGAAAAGCAATTAACTCAATCTGAGTAGAGTTAGGGGTGTGGGGCCTATCAACAAAGGTTTCGTAAGGGAGGTGATAGCTGAGCAGTCTTTAAAATGAGTAGAAGTTAGCAAGGCAGAAAAAAGATTATATTCCCAGCAGAGGTGACATCAGAGGCTCGTAACTGATCAACTTGGGTTTGTGCATGGAATTGCAAACCAATTAGTATTCCTAGAGCATGAAGAAAAGGTAGGGTAGGTGAGATTGGGAGGATTGAGCAAGGGCCAGATCATGGTGAGCCTTGTATGTACCACATTAAGGCTCTTGGACTTTGTTCTAGGGTAGTGAAAAGCAGTTGAGGATGATTAAGCAGGGTAGTGATAATGTCATGTGTTTGTGTGTGTAGATTTCCCTAGCAGCTTTGGGGGAAAGTGATTTGAAGGAGACAGCTGACTGCAGGCAGACCAAGTAGGAGATTGGAAGTATCCAACAGAGATAAAACTAATGCTTGAAATAGGGAAGTAGTGGTGGGTCAGAGCCAGGGACAAATTCCAGAAATATTTAGGAGCAAAATGGTCAGAATTTAGGGATTAATTAGATGGGAAGATGAGAGAGAGAAACATCTGACAAGTCCCTAGTTTCTAGTCTGCATGAGTAGGTAGCTAATGTGACACAAAGATAGAAAATACAGAAACAGGAGCAAATTTGTCCACTCTTCCCTAGCCCACCACCCAACATCTACCTACTTCCTCTGTCTCAGCAGACAACCCTGCCTCCTCTTTCATCAGGAAAATTGAGGACATCATCATTATCTCTCTTAACTAGCTGCTCTAACATGTACCTACTCTCTATCTGGTCCCTCACGCATCCTTATCTCTTTCCAAGTTCTCAAACATTGAGTGATCTTTCCTGGCTCAAGTAAAGCCCACCACCTGTGCATCCCATCTGCTTCTAGGACCTTGTTCCATGCATTACTTTCTTGCTCTCCTTTATTCTCCACTTCTTCATCCATTATTATTGCTTTATCGCCTTCTCTTCAAAACTTTCAGAATCCTTGTCTATACTGATTGTAATCACTTCCTTACTTCTCAACCCTTGCAGTTTGACTAACAGACTTCCCAACACACATATATACATATATACAAACCAAGTATCTGAGTCTAATGAAATTTTTTTGGCTCTTACAGTTTCATCTTTTAGATCTGTGGTTCCTTGACGGAGGCACTGTGGAACATCACAAACTATTTTAAATATTTACGGGAAACACTGATACTTGACATCTGTCATGCCCCGTGCAAACTGCAAGTTCAAAGTAGTACAGTTTCAACATTAGATCACCCTGCATTTATTTCAACAATGTCAGGACTTTGTGAAACTGGGTTTTCCATGGTTGCTGTGATAAAATGCATGCATTGCACAAAAATCGGTGTGGAATAGGAAATGACACTGACAGTGACCACGAATTTCAAGGTTTGAGAAGTTGTATGGTGCTCAGCAGGTGCACACATGCTATTAAATACTTGTGATTAGTTAAGAATGAAATAGGAATATGATTTTTTCTTTCAGTGTCTGTGTATTATTTTTTAAGTCACTTTTAAGCTGTTAGGACATAGATACTAGGTTGTTTAGACCTAATGACTTTAAAAATTGAACTGTTAAGCATTTCTTTTAGCTTGGGAGACACTGAAAAATTTACAGGAACACTAAAGGTGCTGCGAACCTCTGACCTACACCTTAGCTTCCCAGTATTGACCCCTTGGCTTTCACCATTACCAAAACACAGGGAGCTGTGGACATCCAAGACCAAGACAGTATAAATGTGCCCTTGAACAAATCATACTTCATTTTGTTAATTTGTGTGGATCAATAAAATTAGAAAGATATTCCTTTCACATGAAACTTACATTTGAGAATAACTTCATATATTTTATTTTAATACATTGACTAAAACCGTTTTTTTTTTTTTTTTTTTTTTTTTTTTTTTTTTTTTTTTTTTTTTTTTTTTTTTTTTTTTTTTTTTTTTGAGATGGAGTCTTTCATTGTCACCCAGGCTGAAGTGCAGTGCGTGATCTCAGCTCACTGCAGCCTCAACTTCCTGGACTCAAGTGATCCTCCTGCTTCAGCCTTCTGAGTAGCTGGGACTACAGGCATGCACCACCATGCCCAGTTAATTTTTGTATTTTTTGTAGAGATGGGTTTTCACTATATTGTGTAGGCTGGTCTCGAACTCTGGACTCAAGCGATCCACCTACCTCAGCCGACTAAAGTGCTGGGATTACAGGCATGAGCCACCACACCTAGCTGTATGGCACTCTAAAATTGTTTGGGCACATGATATATATGGGCTTAATGTCAACCAAATTTGAGTCCAACCTGTACCATTTCCTATCTAGTGTCAGCTAGCTTTATGCAAGTCATAGAAGCTCTCTCACGATTTCCTTTTTTTCCTTCATAAAATTGGCCTAACATGGGGAAGGAGGACTGGAAGACTTTCTCATGCTCTAAGAATTATACCTGCTTATATTTCTAAAAGAGAAATATTAAGTATTCAAATGCTATCAATAATAAATATTTTAAACTTACCATAATTATCATCATCATTGCTAGTTTTTCTAGCCCCTCAGATTCTGCATATTGTCTTAGATTACTAAATGATCACTGAATCATTAGTCATTGCCAGTGCTAGATACTGTCCAAGGCGAATATAGTCCTCAAAACCTAGTCCTGGTCCCTGTATGTTATATAATTTTAGAATAATGTCATATAAATCATATGGTACATGTATACTTAGTAAAATATATATTTAGGTTTTGTGTTTTAACTAATGTTTGTTTACTCTAGTATTTGTTAACCATGGTGTTATGGAAAAACTTAAGCTCTGAAGTGAGACAGAGCTTGGTTGAGAACTCAGCATTGCCATTACAGGCTGTGCAGCTAAAGTGCAATTTCACAAATGCCAATGAGAGAATAATGAACTCCTCAGAGTTGTGGGGGTTGATGATGACCCATGCAAAGTGCTTATGTATCATGTATATAAAAGGCATTGAATAAATGTTAGTTTTTATCCCCAGCAGTAAGAAGCAATGAAAGCAGGATTTGGGCATATTTGTGCTGAAAATTAAAAGATTCTATCAGGATATAAAGAAATGGTTTAAGCAGGTTGTAAAGAATCCAGGATAAGAGTGACTGATTTTAAGATGAATTAAATGGTATTTGTTACATTTAATTCATACTAGTGGAAATATTTCAATGGTACTGGTTGTTCTAGGCAGCACTTAATATGAAAAAAAATGAGTTATGATACATGTCTATTCCTTTAATGATAACTTTTTTAAAATACAGTTTAAACAAGAGAGTAGACTGGGCGCGGTGGCTCATACCTGTAATCCCAGCACTTTGGAAGGCCAAGGCAGGTGAATCATTTGAGGTCAGGAATTCAAGACCAGCCTGGCCAACATGGCGAAACCCTGTCTCTACTAAAAATATAAAAATTAGCTGGGCATGGTGGCAGGTGCCTGCAGTCCCAGCTACTCAGGAGCTGAGGTACGAGAATTGAACCCAGGAGGTGGAGGCTGCTGTGAGCTGAGATCATGCCACTGCACTCCAGCCTGGGCAACAGAGTGAGACTCTGTCTCAAAAAAAAAAAAAAAAAAGAGTAATGCAACAAATTCCCATTTACTCAAAACTAACAAATTTCATCTCTCCATCATATTTGCTTCAGATATTTAACTTTCATGTTAAAAGAATTAAATACTTTCAATAAGGGTAAAGCTCCCTTTATACTGTTTTCTAGTCCCTTTCCTCTTCCTTCCTTCTCAGATAGAATCGCTATTATGAATTTGATGTGGATCCTCTCATTCAAATTTATATATTAATACTGATCCTAAATATATATGCATAAATAATTTTTATGACTATACTTTCAAGTTTATGTGTAATTATATTTTGTGAGTGTCCTAATCCTTGCTTTTTTTAACCTTATATTTTTGAGATATAACATTCATGGAATGTTTATAATGCCATTCTTCATTTTTCAATTTGTCAACAGTTTCTCATCCATTGATTCAGATGAAGAGTGTAATAGCAGCTCACACTATAAAAGGGTTGAGAACTACTGGCTTTAAATACCTTTCTGGTTTGAACTACACCATTATTTTAAGAGTTCCATACTATTCTATTAGATTTCTTTGCTTAAGAGTTTAAATTCTAGCCAACATTTATTTTCAGTGTGGTTAAAACAACAACAGAAAAAAAGGTCAGGCATGGTGGCTCATGCCTGTAATCCCAATACTTTGGGAGACTGAGGTAGATGGATTGCTTCATCCAAGGAGTTCAAGACCAGCATGGGCAACATGGTGAAACCCCATCTCTACAAAAAATTAGCTGCATGTAGTGGTGCACACCTGTAGTCTCAGCTAGTTGGGAGGCTGAGGTGGGAGGATCACCTGAGCCAGGGAAGTTGAGGCTGCAGTGAGCGAAGATTGCACCACTGCACTCCAGCCTGAGCCACAAGAGTTGAGACACTGCCTCAAAAAAAAAAAAAAATCACATTTTGTATGATATGCAAATTGATCTGTCTACAACCAAAGCTTACCATTAATCTACAGCTATGCCCCATCATTCAAACTTGTTCAAAAGAAATTGTATTATAGAAATTGTACTTCTAGAAAGAATATGGATTAAATCTCATTGTAGATTTTTTATAAAATGATGAACTTCTGATACCAAATACCTTTGTTCAGGCTTTGTCTCTTGTTTTTGTTGTGTTGTTTTTAACAGCTTCATCACTGGTCCAGCTGTAATACCGGGGTACTTCTCCGTTGATATGAATAATGTGGTACTCATTTTAAATGGAAGAGAAAAAGCAAAGATCTTTTATGCCACCCAGTGGTTACTTTATGCACAAAATTTAGTGCAAATTCAAAAACTCCAGCATCTTGCTGTTGTTTTGCTCGGAAATGAACATTGTAATAATGAGTGGATAAACCCATTCCTCAAAAGAAATGGAGGCTTCGTGGAGCTGCTTTTCATAATATATGACAGCCCCTGGATTAATGACGTGGATGTTTTTCAGTGGCCTTTAGGAGTAGCAACGTAAGTAAAAATATGATGAAACATTCTTAGACCCTAACACCTGAATTTCTGAACCAGGAAGACTTACTCAAAATGGTAATAAATTTAGTTCTTCTGGGATTATTGAGGCCAGGTACAGTCTTTCTCAGTGATAAAAATAGGGTGTGGTTGCATCCTTCAATAACAATTATGATGTTTTTAAGAGTATTTTATTCTTTAATGGGGTGATGAGTTACTTTTTTCTTTTAAAACCCCAAGGCGTAGAATGGATTTTTCAAGCTCATTAGGAGTACCATAAAAAGATATTTAGCAGAGAAATGGCAGATTGACTTTTTTTAAAAACAATGGTAGTATCTATTTATAGTTAAAAAAAAAGGCAATATTATTATATCAGGAATATACTGTACCATTGTGTTTGAGACTGGCTGAATTTATACAAATCCCTTCTATAAAAGGAGGGATTAATTAAATGATAGCTAAGGTTTCTCAAGATACAGTCTTTTATGTCAGGCGCAGTGGCTCACTGCCTGTAATCCCAGCACTTTGGGAGGACAAGGTATGTAGATTGCTTGAGTCCAGGAGTTCAAGAACATCCTGGGCAACATGGCAAAACCCTATCTCTACAAAAACAAACAAAAAATCAAAAATTATCCAGGCATGGTGGCATGGACTCCTGTATGGCACCTGTAGTCCTAGCTACTCGTGAGGTTGAGGTGGGAGGATCACTTAAGTCCAGGAGATTGAGCTGAGATGAGATTGCACCACTGCACTCCAGCCTGGGCAACAGAGTGAAATGAGACTGTCTCTCAAAAAAAAATAAAAAACAAAAAGATACAGTTTTTCTCCAACTATAAAATGAAAAGCATATTTTTTGTTAATAGGATGTTTTTAATTAAGAGCAAGTTGACTTTAAGGTAAGTTGCCACTAGTATATAAACCTCCTGAGAGCAGGGATTTTTCTCTCTTTTGTTCACTGCTCTATCCACAGAGCCTAAAACAGCACCTGCACAGAGTAGACATTCTGTATTTGCTGAGTGGATGAATTATGAAAAATCTCACTGACATGATTTTTGAATCATACATTCATTATTCATTATTCTGTCACTGGTTGCTGGATGTGGCCTTAGACTGCTGCCTAGTTAGTGACACAGATGTCACTGGCACATCTGTGCCAGTAATGAGATGTATTCTCAGGCCTACTCCTATAATATCCTGACTCAGTAGGTTTGGGGTAGGGCCAGACAAAAAGGTTTTTGTTAAGTAAAGCCAGGATTAAGACCCTCTTAAAGGCCGGGCGCGGTGGCTCAAGCCTGTAATCCCAGCACTTTGGGAGGCCGAGACGGGCGGATCACGAGGTCAGGAGATCGAGACCATCCTGGCTGACACGGTGAAACCCTGTCTCTACTAAAAAATACAAAAAACTAGCCGGGCGAGGTGGCGGGCGCCTGTAGTCCCAGCTACTCGGGAGGCTGAGGCAGGAGAATGGCGTGAACCCGGGAGGCGGAGCTGCAGTGAGCTGAGATCTGGCCACTGCACTCCAGCCTGGGTGGCAGAGCGAGACTCCGTCTCAAAAAAAAAAAAAAAAAAAAATAAGACCCTCTTAAAAATCTATTTTTTGAGCAGAGCCTGCATTTGTAAAATGTTTTCATATAGTATAAGATGGAACCTCTTGGTAATCATGGTATTGTTTCACTAGGCCAGTATATTTCTTATATAGGTCAGTGGTTCTCAACCAGGGGCAATTTTGCTGACCAGGAGGCATTTGGCAGTGTCTGGAGACTTTTTTTTTTTTTTTTTTTTTGAGACGAAGTCTTGCTCTGTCACCCCAGCTGAAGTTCAGTGGTACAGTCTCGGCTCACTGCAACCTCTGCCTCCCAGGTTCAACCGATTCTCCTGCCTCAGCCTCCCAAGTAGCTGGGATTACAGGTGGGCACTACCACTCCTGGCTAATTTTGTATTTTCTGTAGAGAGGGGGTTTCACCATGTTGGCCAGGCTGGTCTCAAATTCCTGACCTCAAGTGATCTGCCTGCCTCAGCCTCCCAAAGTGCTGGGATTTCAGGCATGAGCCACTGTGCCTGGCCTGGAGACATTTTTGATTGTCACAACTGGAGGAAAGAGGTTGTCAAAACTGGTATCCAGCAGATAGAGCCCAGGGATGCAGCTGAGCACCCCACAATGTATAGGACAGCCTCCACGAGAAAAAATTAACCCAAAATGTCAGTAATGCTGAGGTTAAGAAACCCTGTTATATACTAACTGTTAGGTAAAATTTTGTTCTCGTGTGAAGGTTATATTTCAGGTACACATTTTTAATCCCTGGTATTTCCAAATGCTTATAAAAAGAGGTAACTTTTCCTGTATGGCATACCATGTTTTTTTATCTGTCGGTTTGTTTTAATCTACTTGAAAAGCCTTTGGGATTAATTTATCAGAGCCCTTTGCAATAGCAAAATATAAAATCTTTCCTTTTTTTTAAATTGACAAATAGTAATTGTATATGTTAATGGGGTACAAATGATGTTTTGAAATATGTTTACAATGTAGAATGCTTAAATCAGACTAACAAATCCATCACCTTATATACTTAACAATTGTTGTGGTAAAAACATAAAATCTGCTGTTTTAGCAATTTTGAAATCTACAGTGCATTATTATTTATTATAGTCACCCTATTCTGTGTGATAGATCACTAAAGCTTATTCCTCCTGTCCAACTGAAACTTCATACCCTTTGATCAACATCTTCCTTTTCCCCATCCATCTGCCTCCCCTGGAGCATTCTGTAATCTTTTCATCACCTGGCTAAAATGTTGCTTAAATCACGATCATTATGAATACAGAAGAGTCTTTATAATTTGAAGGTTTTGAATGTAACATGCCTAACAGCTGCAGATGAGTAATGCAAGTTAAAGAATGTCAAAAACAAAGAACTTTAGGCACAAAATCTCTATGACAATTTTATAAGAGATGTCAATGTGAAATTCAGTTTTTTAAGTTACTAGATTCAGGGAGCTTTGCAAAGTGTGCATGGAAAATTACAATTTGAGATTTAGAAATCACATTTTAAACCTCTTTTATGTACTTCTTGCTACCTAAGAGGTTGGGTTAGGGGGATTTTTTGCCAATTCTATATCATATATTAATTCATGTGTATTTATTTTTAGAGATACAAGGAGTTTTCCTGTGGTGGAGATACATTAATTCATGTGTATTTATTTTTATAGATACAGGAATTTTCCTGTGGTGGAGGCAAGTTGGTCAATGCTGCATGATGAGAGGCCATATTTATGTAATTTCTTAGGAACGATTTATGAAAATTCATCCAGACAGGCACTAATGAACATTTTGAAAAAAGATGGGAACGATAAGCTTTGTTGGGTTTCAGCAAGAGAACAGTAAGTTCTATGCTTATTTAATTCATTCATTTTGTTGTCCAGTCTGAAAGTTGCTTTATGTAGAAACACAGGTTTCCAAAGAGGCATGGGTAACTCTGTCTGTACCAGTCTTTCCCCAGAGGATACATTAGTAATTAAAACTATGAAGAGACTGGGTTGTACACATTTAAAATATGGAGAACCTCCTATGACTAGTCCATCTTGAAGAGGAACACTGGCAACTGTCATTTGCAAATTTCAGTTGTTAGGGTTTCCTCAGTAATATTTGTTAGTCACACAGGAGATTATAAATACTAACGAGATACTTAGGTTCATCCCTGAGATGATGTGCAATGGACCAATTAAGTGTTCCAAGACTGGTGTGCAGCACCCCTCACAAATTTCAGGAATTCAGGAATCTGACACCATCTTCAGGACACGGACATTGTATTCTTCTTCTGTGAATCCCCAAATCTAACATAGGACCTTGCACCAAGTCAGCCTAGGATAAATGGTGAGTAGATGAATGGTTGGATAGGGAGACTTGATAGGGTTAAATTTCTTCTTTTGTGTAGTAACCAGGAAACAGGTATTCATGGTGTGAAGGAAGTAAATTTGCAATCATTCATTTTGTTTTTAAATAGGCAAATCAAGTTTTCAAATAAAGCATAATGCAGAGTCATCAGGGAAGTAATGCCTTAAAAAATGTCCGGTTAGGTCTGGAATTTTACTTTTTAAATGATAACAGGTACTCTTTATTGCTAATGTAACCATATCATATTCGTTCAGTCAGTGTTTACCAAGCAATTGCTCTATGCCAGAAACTGTTTACCCACAGTAAATACAGCAGTGAACAAAACAAAGTCCATGCCTTCCTAGCACTTAAATGCTTGTTGGAGGAGACAAGCAAGTAAAATATATTGTGTGTCAGAAGATGATAAATGCCCTGTAAAAAATTAAGCAGAAGAATGGCATAGAGAGGGCTTGGGTGTTGGTGGTGGAGCATTTGCTATTTTGGAATAGCCAAGGAAGGCATTCATTAGAAGGTTTCATTTATGCACCCAAGGGTAAGTGCATGATTTCAGAGAGTAAGGGTGATGGATGATTTTGTCAGCTGACATGAGATTCAAAATTGGGATTATTAGGGAGGGAAAGGGGAGAATAGTCTAGAAGCAACAATGAGAAACAAGGAAAACATCTACTCAACTTCTGGCTCAATGGTATGAGAGGAGTTACAAGAATTATTCCCATAATAACCTTTGTTATTTTATACTGTCCTCATTCATTCTACTCCAGACATACTGGCCCTGTTCCTGTGCTATTGTATTCAGTAGAGATGGGGTTTTACCTTGTTGGCCAGGTTGGTCTCGAACTTGACCTCAGGTGATCCACCTGCCTCAGCCTCACAAAGTGCTGGGATTACAGGCATGAGCCACCACGCCCAGCCACATCTGTCTTTCTTTACTGATCTTTCAGCTTCTACCCTTGCCCCTATACAGTCCTTTCTCAACACAATAGCCAGATTGATTCTGATGAAACCTATATCAGGTCGTGTCACCCCACGATCAAAAGCCTGATATGATAGAGTCCGGTGTGACCATTCAGACTTTATCTTCTTTGCCTGCTTCCTCAGTTACCCTGCCTCAGCCACCCTGGCTTCCCCGCAGCTCCTTGAGCATGCCAGGCACATGCTGTCTCATGGCCTTCACTCTTGCTTGCTCTTTTATCCCCCAAGATCTACATGGCTTGCTCCTTCATCCCCAACTCTGTGCTCAGATGCTGCCACAGTGAGACAGTCCCTCATCACTTATTTAAGATTGCAACCCTACCCCCTCAGAAACTCCTGCTCTACTTAATCCTGTGCTTTTTTCTCACAGTATTCTACCCCATCTAAATAATCTACTGACTTCACTTGGTCATTATCCATCTCCACCACCAGAACTAGAATATATGCTCCATGAGGGTAAGGTAGGGAAGAGAGGACCTAGCACTCCGAAAGTATGGGTTGAATTATCATTATCCATTCAGAAGTGTTACGGTGACTACTGGATTTTATAAATGTACAACTGTAAAATGTTCAAATTCTTCAGCATTTTTAAGAAATCTATTTGGGCCAGGATTTTGGATATCTCTTATGCCTATCATCTCTATAAGTTTCACCATTTCCTGAAACTGATTTTATTAAAAGATAAGGTATTTCTGTTCACAAAATACATACTTAGTAAAGTGAAAACTACAGTTGTTTTTCTGATTTTTTAGCTGGCAGCCTCAGGAAACAAATGAAAGTCTTAAGAATTACCAAGATGCCTTGCTTCAGAGTGATCTCACATTGTGCCCGGTCGGAGTAAACACAGAATGCTATCGAATCTATGAGGCTTGCTCCTATGGCTCCATTCCTGTGGTGGAAGACGTGATGACAGCTGGCAGCTGTGGGAATACATCTGTGCACCACAGTGCTCCTCTGCAGTTACTCAAGTCCATGGGCGCTCCCTTTATCTTTATCAAGAACTGGAAGGAACTCCCTGCTGTTTTAGAAAAAGAGAAAACTATAATTTTACAAGAAAAAATTGAAAGAAGAAAAATGTTACTTCAGTGGTATCAGCACTTCAAGGCAGAGCTTAAAATGAAATTTACTAATATTTTAGAAAGTTCATTTTTAATGAAAAATAAAAGTTAACTTAATTATCTTTTTGAGCTAAGATGTGATTTTTAAAATCATTTTGACTACTGAGTGTATAAGTGTGTTTTTGTGTGTGTATAGATGTTCTTTAAGGTAGCCTTGAAAACTCTAGATGATGTATGTCACGCTGACCAAGTGCTCCCTTATTAGGCCACTCCTGTGTACAAGCTAAAAATGTAGTTAAACTGTTACTGAGATTCACTTCTACAGAGTTGAATGAGTCAACATTTACCAACTATTCTCACCGATGCATACCCACTCTATAAAATGGGGGCCTCAGGGCTGGGGTTATTGAAACAGTTGCAGAGATGGGGGTATGTCCGTCAAAGGATACAAAATTTCAGTTACACAGGAGGAATAAGTTCACGAAATCTGTTATACAACAGCATGACTATAGTTAATGACAATATATTGCATTTTTGAAAAATGCTGAGATTGGATGTTAAGTATTCTCACCACAGAACTGAGGTAATGCATATGTTAATTAGCTATAGTCAATCAACTATATATATACTTCAAAACATCATATTGTACATGGTAAATCATACTATTTTATCTGTCAATTTATAAATAACTATCAGAATACAAATAAACCCACTCTAGGACACAGCATTATGTAGTTGAAAGGCCATGTTTTGGAGTCAGACAAAAATCTGTGTTAAAACATTGCCTCTATACCTTCTAACCAAGGACCTTGAGCAAGCCACCTAAGCATTTTGAGTCTTCCTTTTGTTATAAAATGAAGATAATTTATCTTCACAGGTTTGGTTGTAAATATGAAATGAAATATAAAGTACCTCGTGTGTGTGTATATTACACACTGGGCACATACACTAGGTCCTTTGTGTATACACACACATGTAACTAAAATAGTGATTTTTAATCCATTTTAGGGTTAGGGGTCTGAGGTTACAGTGAGCTATGGCCATGTCACTAAGAGGCACTCCAGTCTCGGGGACAGAGCAGGACCCTGTCTTTAAAAAAAAAAAAAGTGTGTCCCATCATCAGAAGGTCTGGAAGCCTGGATGCAAAGGACCTTAACTTTGTTGGAGTCAGAGAGCCTGCTGCAACCCTATCCAATTCTAAGGGAAGTTGCCCCATCTACAGCCCCTGCTAATGGCAGTGCACACAGATGACTCTCCGCTTCTGTCCCCACCTTACGTCACAGCTGTGGGCACTGATTCAGGGCATCCTGTTGATAGGCTTCCTAGTGATCCCAGATACTGAAACAAAAAAGAAATCAGGCAAACAAGTTCAAGGCATTTTGAACTAGGAAATACTGAGGACCTGGGAATCAACTATAAGAGCAAAACAGGATGCAATGGAGTAGGAGCTATGAACTAGCATCAGGGCTATGAAAGAAGTAAAGATAACAACAAGGTCAAGGAGAGGGACAATCCTGTGCCCAGAGTTGCCCCCATGGGTTTACTACCCCAGCCCCCATGAGTTTTGAGACTGCATTTTTATTACCCCCATGTGAGTCATCAGAATTATGTTTTCTATCCCTCCTTGCCTTGGTTACTTGAGCTGACTTCCCAAACCAAAAGAGTCCAACACAGTGACCATATATTCCATCTTCCAGAGTCTCCATTCTGCCTTCCCCTTGAACAGGGATGTGTGCCGGGTCCAAGGCTTTAATATAGTTCTTTGACTAGAAGGAGTCCCTCTACTGTATTTCACCAACAAGATTGTACCATCTTTCTCTTTATATGAGACTTACTGTTGCCTATAATCTTTTCAAGAATGCTTTCTGCATTGATGTATTGGTTGCCAGCAAAGTCTTTGGAATGTCAAGACCATGGGGCAAGAGAAAGTGAATTATATCAAAAGAAATTTCCCAATGTTCTCTAACATCTTTTCTTACTATATAGAGATTCTGAATAACTAAGAGGCCAACTCTAGGCCATCCGTTGGTTCTAAAACTAGTGAGAAATCTGCCTGCATAGTTTTGGTGGTTTTATTACAAAATCGGAGTCTGTAAAGTTTGAAGCGCTAAAACTCATCAAGATCTGGGTTCAAATCTAATGGCTATTTAGAATATATATATCATCTCTTCCTGGCCTTTTGGCTAAGATCAAGTGTCTTGCTCTGTCACCCAGGCTGGAGTGCTCTGGACTCACTGCAACCTCTGCCTCCGGGGTTCAAGCAATTCTTGTGCCTCAGCCTCCCAAGTAGCTGAGATTACAGGCATGTGCCACCATGCCTGGCTAATTTTTTAATATTTTATAATACGCACTATGTACCAGGAATTTAGCTAAATGTTAGGAATTTTTTTAAAAAGAAAAAAACTAGTCCTGTCCTCAAGGACTCACAGCCTGATGGGGAAGATCATTATGTAAGTATTACAGAATGTTCATTCTAAGAATTTGTGTAGACATTTATGAAGAGCTGTGGGAACTCAGAGAAATGGCTGTTCAGGGGTATAGATTTCAGACTTGTCCTGAGTGGAATTTAAAGGATGAATAAATTGGGTGCATCTTTCAGTACCAGCAAAGAGATATTGGAGCAGCATTTATTTTTCTCTTCTCTGAAATCAACTGGCGCCGGGCACAGTAGCTCATGCCTATAATCCCAGCACTTGGGAAGGCCAAGGCAGAAGGATTGCTCAAGGCCTGCACAACACAGTGAGACCCCGTCTCTACAAAAAGAAAACAATTTTTTAAATTAGCCAGGTGTGGTGGCATGTGCCTGTAGTCCTGGCTGCTCAAGAGGCTGAGGCAGGAGGATTGCTGGAACCCGAGAGTTTGAGGCTGCAGTGAGCTATGACTGTGCCACTGCACTCCAGCCTAGATGACAGAGCAAGACTCTGTTTATTAAAAATTAATTAACTAATTAATTAGGACTGAGAACTTCCAGGCACAGGTACATTGGTTTGGGAGACTGAGGCTCCCAGAGATGAGAATAGGATATTCAAGTTAACTGCCTCTAGGTCTGTAGAACCACTGATCTGTGCAGGCACAGAATTGCAGTCATCTCCATCCATGAGGATGAATTTATCACAGAGGGGATCACCAAAAACTGATTCATTGTGGTAGCACCACATGTGTACACATGTATGTGCCACATAATGACATTTCAGTCAATGGTGGACTACATATATGATAGTGGCCCCGTAAGATTATAATGGAGCTGGAAAATTTCTGTCGCCTAGTGATGTCATAGCCTAGTGATGACATATGTAGTGCAATACATCACTCACGTGTTTGTGGTGATGCTGGTGTAAACAAATCTATTGCACTGCCAGTCAAGTAAAAGTACAGCAATTATGTCCGGTACATAATACTTAATAATGACAATAAATGACTTATGTTACTGCTTTATGTATTTACTATACTATACTTTTTACAATTTGTATTAGTTCTTGCATTGCTATAAATAAATGCCTGAGATTGAGTAATTTATAAAGAAAAGAGATTTAATTGGCTCACATTTTCACAGGCTATACAGGAAGCATGACAACTTCAGGAGACTTACAATCCTGGCAGAAAGCGAACGGGAAGCAGACACGGCTTCACATGGCCAGAGCAGAAGTTTGAAAAGGGGGTGGGTGCTACACACTTTTAAATAACCAGATCTCACGAGCACTCAGTTATTACCAGGAAAGCAGCACCACAGGGGAAATCCACCTCCACGACCCGCTCTCCTCCCCGCAGGCCCTGCCTCCAACACTGGGGATTACAATTCTACATGAATTGTAATCATGAATTACAATTCAATAGATCCAAACCATATCATCATTATTTTCGAGTGTACTGCTTTTACTTATTTAAAAAAAAAAAAAAGTTAAACAGCCTCAGTCAGATCCTTCAGGAGGTATCCAGAAGAAGAAAGCATTGCTATCACAGGAGACGGCAGCTCCATGCCTATTATTGCCCCTGAAGGCCTTGTAGTGGGGTGAGATGTGGAGATGGAAGACAGTGATGTTAATGATTCTTACTCAGTCTAGGCCTAGGCTAATGCGGGTGTTTGTGTCTTCATTCTTAACAAAAAGTAAGACAATAAAAAGTAACAAAATACATTTTTTAAATTTTTAAATAGACTAAAGTTTATAAAATAAGGATAGAAAAAAGAAAAATATTTTTGTGCAGCAGTACAATCTGTGTTTTCAACAGTGTTATTGCAAAATAATCAAAAGGTTTAAAAAGTGTATAAAGTAAAAATTTACAGTAAGCCAGTAAGCTAACATTAATTTATTCATCAAGAAAGATAAATATTTTATTCTTTTTTTTTTTTTTTTTTTGAGACAAAGTTGTTCTTATTGCCCAGGCTGGAGTGTAGTGCCATCATCTCAGCTCATCACAACCTCCGCCTCCCAGGTTCAAGCGATTCTCTTGCTTCAGCCTCCCAAGTAGCTGGGATAGCAGGCACTCGCCACCACACCCAGCTAATTTTTTATGTTTTTTAAAGACGGGGTTTCATCATGTTGGCCAGGCTGGTCTTGAACTCCTAACCTCAGGTGATCCACCTGCCTCGGCCTCCCAAAGTGGTGGGATTACAGGCATGAGCCACCACACCCAGCGAGAACAATATTTTTTTTATAAATTTAGCATAGACTAAATACACAGTGTTTATAAAGTCTACAGTAGTTTACAGTAATGTCCTAGATCTTCACATTCACTCACCACTCACTCACTCACTCACTCAGAGCACCTTCCAGGCCTGCAAGCTCCATTCATAAGAGCTCTACACACATGTGCCACTTTAATATTTTATATCATATTTTTACTGTGCCTTTTCTATGTTTAGCTACACAAATACATTTGTGTTACAACTGCCTATGGTATTCAGTACAGTGACATGCCGTACATATAGGTTTGCCTCCTAGGAGCCACAGCCTACACCATGTAGCCTAGGTATGTAGTAGGCTGTACTATTCAGGTTTGCATAAGTACATTCTATGATGTTTGCATGACAAAATCATGTAAGGATGTGTTTCTTAGAACATATCCCTATCATTAAGCCACGCATGACTGTAGTTCTTTAGCATCTTCAGAAAGAATTAGAGTCCCGCTTGCTGTAAGT